ACGAACTACAAAGCCATATTCGCTACTCTCTATGACCCTTTCTTAGCAATTAAAAATCTCCAATCTGACCTATCTTATAGAAGATTGGTACACCAAATGGAGACTTAAGATTAATCAATCCAAATCTATCTATACGACGTTCAACCTCAGAATTGCCCCTTGTTATGATGTTTTCGTTTAYGGAACCCAAAATCCAAGTGCTTAGAATACTAAACATCTTGGTTTAACCCTTGATAAAAGGCTGACGTGGGCCCAACATTTCAAATCCAAAAGAGTAAACTTAAACCAACGATTAGATCTATTAAAAAATCTCATTTATAATGACAAATATACACAATTTAGTACTAAACTCTTTATTTATAAATCTTAACTTAAACCCATGTAGACATATGGACTGCAAATATAGGGAAACGCTAAATGCCTTTTCCTACGTATCTAATCATACTATTAATTSAGATCTTAAAATGCCTTTAGTGCCCGATGAAGCAAAAATGTATTACAAACGTTTGGTCCTTCGCTTATTATCTCACCCCAATTCGTTGGCTAGAAATCTCTCAACCCCAACRGTCCTCGGTAACCTTGCAAGAAGGTTAAAATGTAAATGGTGCCATGACTTGCTTGATATATTAATCACGTTATAAATAAATAAGTAGAGTAAAAATATATATATATACCTACGTATATTAAAAACCGTTTAAAGTGTCACTAATGGGTGGCTGCTTTCCTCAAACGTAACATGTGTTATGTAATTTATTGTAAACTGTTTAGTGTTTATTTATACTAACCATATTTTGATACCTTATATTATGTCTATTCTGTATCACATTTACTCGTTGTGCCATCAGATATAGATTGCAAATTTCATATTAAAATAAAACTCACTCCCGTATCGTAAGTGATTCATAGGTTTTTATTAATTTATATTGTTTATCACATAGTATTTTTGCTAAGTAATTTAGTTTTAAATATCATTATGTATAACGCACTGGGAAAGTACTTAGTATTTTTTTATCAATAGGTGCTTATCGCATACGTTGTTTCCCAATGACGTTCCCAATGTCAAGAATGTTAAAATAATAATAACTATTGTGATCACTGAAACACCCGAATCACAAAACTAGTATGCAGATTGCCCAGTCGGTACCAAGTTAAATATGTGATGACTGACTTGATAWTGTGATGATATTCGCATTATTAACCTACAAAATTTCACAGCTTATTATTATAATGATAAAATTAAATGTGTTACTCTAAAATCTTTTAAAATAACTGTACCATTTACATTAATATAACCAAATAAAAATATATTAAACACTTAAGATAGTCATATATGATATATATATAAATATTKTAAACAATATAACAAATTATGCTRTTTAGAAATACATTTTGTACCTATATACCTTTTCAAATAACCAACAACAATTGGAATTTGAAAAACAAGTACGAAAGATGGAAAGATCAATGATTTAAGTTTATAGGACCCAATTTCGATGCTATATTCACTTCWTATTTAGCAGTCTAGTCTGAATATTACASCATATTCCGTTGAGAGCTAATTACAATAAATAAGCCTTGTTACATTTACCACTACCACTTTTTTGCGAGTAATTTAATTAATACTGTTTTACTCAAAGTTAATAGTTTTGATGTAGAATAAAGTAAAAAGTAATAACCTGAAACCTAAAACATTATTAATCTCGTTGCAAATTCGTGAAGATAAATAATGTACGTTGCATTATGGTAAGTTATGTGAAAGCGACTAGTGGAAGTGGGGAAGTTAAATATACAAGGCAGCGAAATCCACACCAACATTGCCAACGCTGATTCCGAACATAGGCAGACCCTGTCAGTAGGAGATAAAGCTCTTATAGTWACTGAGAAAAAAAAATAAAAGTACCCACAGAAAATGTAATGCATAATTTTTACAAATATATTTGTACAATTCTTTTTTCGTGCGTGATAGGTCGCGCGATTAAAATAAATCCGTGGTATAAAAGCAATATAATATTATACCATTTCGTCGCCGTCCGACCCAGACGAAATTAATTAATTCGTGTTCACTACTGCAACAATCGTCCTCGAAACAGTTTTCGATAGTTTTTATGTACGATTTCGGCATATATATAATTTTTTGTATGAAAAAAACAAAATCACAGTCAAACAGTAGGTATAGAACGTGAATATTCAAAAATACTAAAGTACCTAAACATAGATGTACATAATACTGTTGCTCAAATGATAATTTTTCCTTCAAAAGTGTCACTCTGTATAAATAACAATACGGTAGCAGGTATAGGCACTATATAAAATATACCTACAATAATATTATTATGTACCACTGTACATCGATATACTCTGCAGATATGTATATGTTCAGTCTTTGGTCGGCGGATAGTGCGGTGACTGTTTAATTCTCGCGGTTCTATTGTAGAGGCGGCGGCAAAGACAATAATTATTATTATTTATTAGCATAAACACAAACGGGTGAAAAGACTGCACCGACACGAGACGCTAGCGACCTTCTTCGATTTACACTACAAAGCCTGATGACGACGCCGCCACCGTCCTACTTACACAAACGAGCGTGTGTATTATTGTTGTATTTATTGTGCGTACGTGGTGTTTGAAAAAAAAAAAAAATAACAAAACAACAAGTCGGAAACTGTTATATTATATGGCTCGTGCTGTACATCGCTTATAATATTTTACATAATATTAATAATCATAAATATTATAATAGTAATTTCAAGTTCGAAAAGTTTGGCGTTGTCGGCCGTGGCACTATCGAAAAATGTTTTTCATTCAAAATCAGTACAATAAATAAGTAAAAAAAACTTGAAAATTAATGAGAATACATGTGTTTTTACGGGGAATAAAATATGATAATTTAATTATAAATATTATCTACTTACGCTGTTCTTGAAGTTGAAACAAAAAATATGCTAGATAAGCTCCCAGATAATATTATTTATATTTACAATTATTATTGCTGTCTAAAATCATTTTGTCATTCTGTGTCGATATTTGACCAATTGCTTAGAGTGCAGCACTGTAACACGTTTATACTATATATATTTATAATTTATATAGTTTCGAAATAAGTACTCAACTACCAGTTATAGAATAATATAACAGAGATGAAGCCTTCGGTTAATTACTTTGAAATAGTGTTTATTTGTATATTCAAATGTTGAAATTCATAAAATATAACATAATATATCGAACTCCTTAAAAAGCAGGTAGAGTAACTACTCATAAGTTATAGCTAGGTGACATTTTGGATGGTGAACGAGTTATACAGAATAAATCAATTTTGAACATTTTTTGATTACTATGCCATTTTACGGAAAACAATATTCCACGCGTGTGTCTTATTATTATTACCTATGAACATTTTGTATTTTTTATTACCATTACCATAGACTAACTGTGAATGTTCTAAATTCCATTAYAAAGAAATAAAGACAAACAATAAAAAAATTACAATTTTATTGTTCCCTGTAAATTTGAGATATTTTTACTATAAAATATACGTTATGCATGCATGCGGATACCGAAACATAGTTTGGGAAACATTTGTGTATACCTAGTAAACTTATAGTGTTGATATAACTTTCCAAATACCTACATGGGCTATATGTATTAAAAAATATTTAAGATTGAAAAAGTGCTCTGGTTTTGGATTAAAACTACCTATATCATATCCCTTTAAATGGTATGTAGCATTAATATAACATTAAAACATTATATTTAAAGGGTTTCACGGAGCCRTTGTGGTATAGTATAAAAGCTTCACCCACACGAACAATTATCAATGTAACATCAATTTTTTGCCCTCCTCGTCACTTATTCTTTTCATGTATAAGCGACCCACAAACAATTGTTTTTTTCTTGGAAAATTCGCGCTTGAATACAATATTTGAAAACGTTTTTATGATTTTTTATATCATAAATTTAGGGGGTGGAAAAACATAAGCGCCCGGTGCCAAATTCCTGAATACATCCCTACTATAATTTCAGTGAGTGATAATGTAAAATGTGTGGATATTATATGTACGGCAAGTGTGCGGTTTTGAACGACGCTCATCACTGACGAATAATTATAATATTATTACCTATTTCAAACTATAAGTACCGGAAAACGAAAAATGTTAATGCGTATAAAATACAACATGAACTAATTCAACCGTTTTACAATCACGCCCACCGTTATTGGCCG